TGGTTTAGAGCTTGGGTGCCCAGACCCAGCATGATTCTATAAATAAGATAATCACCAATCACATTCTAGATATAACTTCTATTACTGTAGAATAGTATCTCCATATTAAAATCTTCCAAGCCTATACAGACATACCTCCTTTTATTGTGCTTTTGCTTTATTGAACTTCGTACATGCTGCATTTTTTACAAATTGAAGGTTTGTGGCATCAAGCAAGTCTATCAGTGCCATTTTCCCAACATTTGCTCACTTAGTATCTGTGTCATATTTTGGTAATTCTCACAATATTTCAAACTTCTTCATTATTATTATTATTATGGTGATCTGGGATCAGTGATTTTTGATGTTACTAATGTAATGGTTTGGGGGCGCCATGAACCATGCCTATATAAGATAGCAAACTATTTATAATGTTCTCTGAACTATCTTCCTGTTATCAGTTTAGTATTACTTTCATTCCTCATTCTTCTGGGGTAATTGTTCTAAAACTGAGAACTCTGATAATGTCATTCAACAGAATGGCATCCAGACTGCATAGCTTAGCATTTAAGGTCATTTACAGATTCCCTGCCTATCTTCCCAGGCTCTCTCCCTCTCCTTGGGCCTCCCTATTCCCTGAGACACAACAATACTGAAATTAGGCCAATCGGTACCCCTACAATGGCCTCCAAAGTGTTTAAGTGAAAGGAAGTGTCACACGTTTCTCATTTTAAATCAAAAGCTAGAAATGATTAAGCTTAGCGAGGAAGGCATGTTGAAAGTCAATATAGCCTGAAAGCTAGGCCTCTTGTGCTTAACAGTTAGCCAAGTTGTGGATGCAAAGGAAAAGTTCTTGAAGGAAATTAAAAGTGCTACTCCAGTGAACACAGGAATGAAGAAAGCAAAACAGCCTTACTGCTGATATGAAGCAAGTTTTAGTGGTCTGGATAGAAGACCAAACCAGCCACAACGCTCCCTGAAGCCAGGCCTAATCCAGAGAAAGGCCCTAAGTCTCTTCAATTTTTTGAAAGCTAAGAGAGGTAAGGAAGCTGCAGAAGAAAAGTTTGAACCTTGAAGAGGCTGGTTCATGGGATCATGAAATTTAAGGAAAGAAGTCATCTCCATAACATAAAACTTAAACACAAGGTGAAGCAGCAAGTGATGATGTAGAAGCTGTAACAAGTTATCCACAAGATCTAGCTAAGATAATTAATGAAGATGCCTACAATAAACAAGTTATCAATGTAGATGGAACAGCCTTCTATTGGAAGAAGATGCCATCTAGGGCTTTCATAGCTAGAGAGGAGAAGTCAATGCCTGGTTTCAAATCTTCAAAGGACAGTCTGACTCTCTTGTTAGGGGGTAATGAAGCTGGTAACTTTAAGTTGATGCCAATGTTCATTTACCGTTCTGAAAATCCTAGGGCCCTAAGAATTGTGCTAAATCTACTCTACTTGTGTTCTATAAGTGGAACAACAAAGCCTGGATGACAGCACATCTGTTTACAACATGGTTTTACTGAATACTTTAAGCCCACTGTTGAGACCTACTGCTCAAAAAACAAAAAAGATTCCTTTCAAAATATTACTGCTCAATGACAATGTGTTTAGTTAACCAACAGCTCTGAGGATAGATGTACAATGAGATGAATGTTGTTTTCATGCCTGCTAACACATCGATTCTGCAGCCCATGGATCAAGGAGTAATTTCGACTTTCAAGTCTTATTATTTAAGAAATATCTTTAATTTTTTCATATGAACCATAGATTTGATACATTTGGTTAAAAAAATCCTGCTGTAAGATGAATAATGTTTGAGGATCTAATGTATAACACAGTGACAACAGTTGATAACACTGTAGCGTATAACTGAAATTTGTTATGAGAGACCTTAAATCCATAAATGTTCCCACCAAAAAAAAAAAGGTAAATATGTGAGGTGGTGGATGTGTCAATTAACTCCATGAGGGGAGAACCCTTTCACAATGTATGTGTATATCAAATCATCACACTGTACACTTTCAATACCTTACAATTTAATTTGTCAATTACACCTTAATAAAGCTGGGGAAAAAAAACCCTATGAAGATTCGAGAAGCCACCACATCAGTAAGAAGTTTAAGTATCCACTGGTCAGAGGATTGCCAGGGCTTTTCCTCCAAAATAAAGGATAAATGATTGCATCTTGCTTATCCCTCCACCAAGAAAGAAGGTCAATAATCCCTGGTTCCAGTAATGGGTACCTGAGACACATTCCTATCTCTCACAACCTATGTTGCACAGTGGGTAATAAGAATATTCCTGGAAGCCACTGATACTCAGAAATGGCTAGCAATAATTTAACTGTAAACAGAAGTGACTGCAAACCACTTAATCCAAATACATCCCTAACTCACTTACCCTTTCCAGGATTCCAAAAGGCCTGTGCTACTCCCATACCACCCAACACAAGAGAAAGTTAGAGTGTAGGTTAAGCAGAAAAAAATCTTGCTGGTATTTTTATTTGGATGCCATTAAATGTACAGTTAACTTAATAGTGAGCAAGATAAAATAAAATTCGTTCTCTATCTACACCATACCCCAAAATGAACTCTGGACGGATGAAAGGTATTAACATGAAAAATATAACTATAGAAATTCATGTGGAAGAGTAAACGTACAAGAGTAGGCACAAGCATAGCCAGAGCAATTCTGAAAAAGAATCTTAGAGTCAGCTGGTCAAGTTTCACTAAAAGTCTTTTGAAATTATTGACATGAATTGTAATAAGTTTATAGAGTAATTAAGGAAAAATTAAATTGTGGGGATATCTAGAATCCTACTTTTTTGAAATCATCTAGCAACATTATAACCCTAAGCATGGGGATTTTCCCCTTTACTTTAATATTGTAGCTCAAAAACCAGATAAGTACATTTAGCTGTTTTAGGCATTTTATTAAAGCCCAAGCTTATTTTGAGTTTTAGATTCCAGACATTATTCTCATTTTTTCAATAAATCCTTGGTCCTATAATGTGCTTTAAAGTTCTGAGCACTAACACTATTTGCTGCTCATAGGTTATTTCTAGTGTGTCTAGAAACATTTTCTTTTTTTCCCTTCTTTGTCCTGATTTTAAAACTGTCCTAATTTTTTAAGGTTGGATGAAAATTAGGCTCCAAATAAGGAAAGTTTTACTATCACTTCAAGGAATTAAGAGCAAAAATTCCATTAGTTAAAGCAGAATTAACTCAGCAAATTTTTCTATAATACCAATAATTTCTATAGAACTACTATGTGCAAGACACTGTTCTAATGTGCTTTACAAACATTAAATGACTGAATTCTCTGTAATTCAGAAGATATTAAAGTATTGCATGGCTTTCAGGATAAATACCCAGTTGCTAGTGTGTGAACAAGTAGGATAAGAAGGATTTTAGATTCAGACTGTAGGACATTACAGAGCTTAGTATAAGCAGCCAATTTTAAGGTCACATTTACTATTCTTCTCTCTCCAAACTCACAACCACATACCAAGTTAGCAAGTTATGAAATTTTGCGTGAATGTAAGTTCTGGTTTACTTATTCTTTCTTTTAAAGCTTGTTAGTTGGTCCATAAATATTATTCTAGAGCCATTACTAAATATATCACATTCAAAAACAACAACAAGGAGCTAAGTAAATCTTTAGTGGACATGATATAGATTTATAAACAGAAGGATTATACATAATAAAAGACAATTTTAAGATAGGTTGCAACAGCATGCTAATAAAAGCAGCTGGTTTATAAATGTTTAATTTTATATTAAGATCTTTAGAATTAGACATACTTTCACATTATAGAAAAGATTTCTTCATTATTACATTTATTAGAATTTCTCCATGAGTCAAGTTTATAAGGTTGATGTGAATTCAGAAGTATAACAATTTGGACCATTCTAAAAGATTTTGACATTCTAGAGGATTAGCAATAGTTTAATTATGTGAAAACTTGCTTGAATTATTAGTTCCATGTATTGCTTAAACCACAAATTAATCTGTAATCTTCATTTAACAATTAAAAGACCCACTGAGATTATCTTCAGAGTTTATTTTCAAAGTTTACCAGTATGTGAAAGGTACATGAAAACTTTTCTGTACTATTTTAGCAACTTTTCTGTCTGAAAGTATTTCAAAATAAAAAGTTAAAAAAAAAAAAAGGTAACCACTCTGTTTACTCTGCATGTAGTTGAACCACTAAAATACATTGTTTGATGAGGTAACGATATTTACTTTAATACTCATCAGTGATTTTCCTTTTAACTAGGTTATTAAATATATTTTCTACTGATTAATTAAAGACAAATTACTCTCTCTCTTCCCCTCCCTCCAACAGACATGAACCAGAAAATATAGGTTTTTGAAAAAAAAACTGGGGAGTATACAATGGTACAATCACCTTGGAGTTGTCCGGCAGGTTCTTTTAAAGTAAAACATTCATCTACTCGATGATTAGCAGTTCCACTCCTAGGTATTTATCCAAGAGAAACAGAAACATATACCCACAAAGAAACTTGTATAAAAATGTTCATAGCAGCTTTATTCATGATAGCGTCAAACTGAAAACAAACTAAACGTCCATTGACAAGTGAATGAATAAACAAACTGTGGTATATTTATGCCCAGCAACAGTAAGAAATGAACTTCTGATACAACATAAAATGGATGAAAACATATAATGTTGAGTGAAAGAAGCTAGACACAAAAGGGTACATACTGTACAATTCCATTTATTTTTAGTCCATGAAGAACAAGCTAAGCTATGGTGAGAGAAATCACAAAGTGTTTGCCTCTTGATGGGTGGTAGTTCAGACTGACCAAAGGGGTATAAGGAAACTCTTCTCTATCTTGTTTCAATATATGCAATTTTTACATATGTAAATTATTACATATAAATTACACTTCAACTGAAATGAAAATTAAACTTCTATTAAAAAATATATTCTAAAAGAAAGAGTAACAGGAACAAAAATCGAAGAGTCTTAACATTTCTATTTTCAGGATGCTTACCTGTCTAAGAGCTGATCATGTTTTTCTAGAGCATTCTTTTCAGCCATCACTGCTCGGTCCTTTTCAGCCACAGCATTATCCCTTGCTTCTCGGAGGTTTCTAAAGTGTAAATGTACACTTCAGTTATTCCGACTACACAAGTATCCATCTTTTAAAGACTCATAAATGGGCTTGCTTGGAATTGGACTAACTGATAATCTCAGGGACACCCTAAGGGTTGGTGTCCCACAGTGTATATTATACAAATGTGCCTGGCTTGGTGAGTTTCTCTAGCAGCACACAGCAGTGTAGGTACAAACATGGTCTACTCTCCAAATGTCATATTACCTTTCTCCACAATTATTCTCCACAAGGGTCGAAGGGAAGGTAGGGTAAACAGCTGTATTTATAGCAACTCATTTAATTCTTACCATAATCTAATGAGGTAGGTATAATTACCAACATATTATCCACAAGAGAGCTGAGGTTTTGAGAAGTTAATAAATGCAATATAAAATGTTATAATGAGGGATATAGAGATCACAGGAATCCAAATGGAAATGAAGTTTGGGACAAAAGCAGGAGAACAGCTAAACTGATAGACCCTGGGTCTCACATGGAGAGGAAGGAAAGAGAAGGGAACACAGAAGGACTGAGATTAGGAGAAAGTAAGGGACAAAGGACTTGAAGTCCTGATAAGATAACTAACAGATTAAGTGGAAGTGGCTGCACAGGCAAGATGGAAAACTAGAGATTGCTGTCGGAGAACAGTGATTCAGAGGTAGAGTAGTGTCTTCAGCTCTGGAATTTTAGTTCATAAGATGCAGGGTGTGACATTAGAGTAGCTATATGAAAGAGCTGAGATGAAGGTCAATACTCATGCGGGGCTCAAGGAAGTATGAGGTCAGACTATGAGTCATCCACTTACAGTGCTGGTGACAGCAGGAACTGAAATTGACAGAACGATACATTGAATGACAGTTAAGGGGAATGTCCAAAAGGTGGAAGGTAACAATAGTGAGTAATTAGGAGTGATACAGATAGATATGGGCCCTCAAAGATCAAATCCTGTTTGTTTTTTAATCAAAGTGGAAGTTTGAATCAAGAAAAATACCAACAGTAACTCTTCTTTCAGAGAGTCACTTAATTTATTTTGAAAATCCTCTTCTCTAACAGAGTTATAACATAAGTAAATTTGGAGTATAACATAAATGATTGTGCTCACTTAGTCCCTACAAATCCTTGATGTTATACTTTCTAAGCTGCTTTACAGCTGAATAAACTGAAGTTTAGAGGGCTTAAGTCCCTAGGCCCAAGTCACACAGCTGAAGTGTTAAAGCCATAATTTGAGTCCAGCTATGTCTTACTCCAATGTGAGTGTTTTTTACATCACATCAACCTATCTCCCATAAAGAAGTGGATTGGATATTAGAATTTGGTTTTTATTACTGATGGAGAATGTCAGTAGGGAGCCATGAAAATCCACACAGTTTGAGTAAATCTATCTAATAACTATTAGGTAGAAATATTTAGTGGTCATACTTGCTGTGGCAGTGCTCAAAGTCATCTTTTGTACAGTGATGCTAACAACAATTTTAAAACTTAGAATATGTCAGCCAATAGAGATTCATCAGTAAAATAGCTTATGAGCCAGAAATAAAATAATTAAAAAAAACTGGAATATAGATAACTCTTATTAAAAAGAATAACTTTTGTACACTATTATCTAAGTGCAGATACATTTTAAAGTAGATATCACAAAATAGCAAGTCATTATTTTCTGATATCATCCTGACTGCAAAGACCTTCAGAAATATTCCACTATTCTCAAATTAACTGAAACATGAAATTTTTAATTTTATAGAATGAAATTCTCAAAGTATATTAAACATTTATATATTTTTCATCCCTAGAGGATCTATATATTTTAGTCAGTAAACCATCCAAAATTGGTCACAACTTTCATTTCTCAAATGCTATAGCCTTATTATTCTATAAGTTATTTCAGTTGCAAAATTCCAAGTAGATACATTTACAGTACTAATTAATCATGAATGCTTAGCTGGCAGATGGCAAAGCTTCAGTCCCTAACCATATATATTTTCTTTACTACAAAAATGGGCAACAGAAATAAAAGCAAATATGGTAATTAGACTTACCATGGTGATCATTTTGGAATGTATAGAACTATGGAATCACTATGCTGTGGAACAGGAACTAACATAGCATTGTAGGTCATTATACCTCAGAAACAAACAAACAAACTCAGAAATAAAGATCAGATCTGTGGTTACCAGAGGTGGGGATGGGGGGAGGGGGAATTGGATGAAGGGGGTCAAAAGGTACACACCTCCAGTTATAAGGTAAATAAGTACTAGGGATGTCATGCACAACATGATGAAAACAATGAACACTGTTGTATGTTACATACAAAAGGTGTTAAGAGAGTAAATCTTAAAAGTTCTCATTGTGAGGCAAAAAATTTTCTATTTCTTTAATTTTGTATCTCTGTGAGATGATGGATGTTTGCTAAACTTCTTGTGGTCATCACTTCATGATGTATGTAAGTCAAATCATTACGCTGGACGCCTGAAACTATACAGTGCTGTGTGTCAATTGTATTTCAAAACTGGAAGAGAAAGAAAAAAGAAAGAAAGGAAGGATGGAAGGAAGGGGGAAAGGAGGAAAGAAAGGAAGAAAGAAGAAAAAGAAAGAAAGAAAGGAGGGAGGGAGGGAAGAAAGAAAGGAAGAAACAGAGAAAGAAATAAAACCCAGAATAAACAAACATTAGGGCTTATGAAAGGAGGTGTCATTAGAAGATACCAGGGCATTCACCATGCTACAATCTACACCATCCGGTTAACTATAATTAGTGCTATATTTACGCATGAACAAAATTCTATGGCCACAAAGAAGAGGAGTTGATTATTTTTAACTGGAGGAACAGATGAGTGAATGACGGGAAGACATGTAAGTTGGGGCTTGAAGGACCAATAAATAAAGGTAATTCAAAAAGAGAAAAACTGAAATGAATGGGAGAAAGTGCTAGAAGCTGAAGTTTCTACCAGTAGATCCTCTCATAGGTGCTTGCTGGTAAGATTTCCGTGTAAACTGTTGCTTTTTTTTTTTATATATAAATGTATTTATTTGTTCATTTATTTTTGGCCGCAATGGGTCTTCGCTGAGGTGCACGGGCTTCTCATTGCAGTAGCTTCTCTTGTTGAGGAGCACGGGCTCTAGGCGTGTGGGCTTTAGTAGCTGTGGCTTGCGGGTTCTAGAGCTCAGGCTCAGTAGTTGTGGCGCATGAGCTTAGTTGCTCCGCAGCATGTGGGATCTTCCTGGACCAGGGCTCGAACCCGTGTGCCCTGCACTGGCAGGCGGATTCTTAGCCACTGTGCCACTGGGGAAGTCCCTGTAAACCGTTCTTATCAGGTAACATGTCTTCCACATCCTGTCACAACCTGCATACTTCAGTAAGAAGCAACACAATTCCTTTTAACATAAAGATTAGAAATACTTCCTTTAATATTATTGACTTTTAATGTTTCAAATTAAGTTTGAGAAAGAGAAACTGAGTGATTCTTCCACTGACAATAACAGTAATAGCAAACACAGAGTACTCACCCTGTGCTAGGAACTTTGCTAGGCAGTGTACATATAATAACTCTTTCTTTGTTTGTTATTGTTTTTGCAGTACACGGGCCTCTCACTGTTGTGGCCTCTCCCGTTGCGGAGCACAGGCTCCGGACGCGCAGGCTCAGAGGCCATGGCTCACGGGCCCAGCAGCTCCGCGGCATGTGGGATCTTCCCGGACCAGGGCACGAACCAGTGTCCCCTGCATCGGCAGGCAGACTCTCAACCACTGCACCACCAGGGAAGCCCATATAATAACTCATTTAATCTTCATGACAACTGCAAAAAGTGTAGGTTGTATCATTATCTCCATTTTATGAAGAAGACTGAAACACAGAGAAGTTAAGTATTTGCCTACAACAGTCACGTGGCAAGTAAGCTATGGAGCCCAAATTTGAACCAAAACCATATGGTGCTAGAGTCTATGCTCTCCATCATACTAGGCTGCCTCTCTGAAGAGTCCCCTTGTTTCACAGAAATCTTCTCCTTGGGAAATTCTATCATTATGAGATTTATATTACATGATTATCTCCTAACACAAATAGATGTTAAATCAAAAACAATTCTTGGAAGAATTGTGAATATATTATACACTTGTTTGTCTGGCCCATGCTCTTTGAAACTCAGACTGGTTTGATAAAACACTAGATGGATTGATTCCTGTCACAGATAAAACCATAACTGCCATATAACTAATAAACTATCCATTTAAAAATGTTAAATGCATTAGAAAATGTAACAGAAATACAATTACAGAACAAATAGCAGGAATTCAAATGTTCTTCAAAAGACAAACTATAAAAATTGACAGCATGAACAAGCTAATGGAGCTAAAGTTTTAAAAGTCCAAACCGAGTATATAATCAAATGTAATCGTAACAGAGAAAGATGCTGGGAGTTGGTCAACATTATAACAAATGTTCACAAATTCAAATATCTAATCCCTAGAAATGCTTTTTAGAAAGCTAATATTTTGGGCTTCCCTGGTGGCGCAGTGGTTGAAGAGTCTGCCTGCCGATGCAGGGGACACGGGTTCGTGCCCTGGTCCGGGAAGATCCCACATGCCGCGGAGCGGCTAGGCCCGTGAGCCATGGCCGCTGAGCCTGCGGGTCTGGAGCCTGTGCTCTGCAACGGGAGAAGCCACAACAGTGAGAGGCCCAGGTACCGCAAAAAAAAAAACAACAAAAAAAAACAAAGCTAACATTTGATTCCCAAAATTTTTCATAATTCTTTCATGTTGTTTCTTACTAACTCCATCTCCATAACACACATTGATCTCTCCCCATCCATCCTATATTTGTGTGTGTGGGGTGGATTGAGAGGAAAGATGGCAGAAAAAGGAAAAGAAACCTTATCAATCCTACGTAAAATGCAAAAGAAAAGTGAGTTTCGTAGTATTATCACTAGTGTCCAAATAATGTATTTTTTAACTTAGGCATGTCTTAGAGTGAAAGGGGTGCTATTAATAATTACGCTACAGAAATAGG